GCTGTACATAATAAACATTGAGAGCTGACTCATTTGCGACTAAGTTCTTACTAAAACGGCGCCGGACACTCCTGCATCAGCCTCTCCACTGTTAGGATTACAGGGGTGTGTCACTAACCTCAGCTCTTCTTAAAAATATTTTTTAACATTTTTTAAGAAAGACAGCAGGTGGCCACAGGCTTCTGGTAGAAGCCAAGATACAGTGATATCTTGGTTATCAAATGGCTCCAAGCTTGAACTTCCCACTACTTGAACAGCAAAGTTCAAAAAAATATGCTCGGTATTCATAATTCAGCTCAATAGTTGACCTGAAAATCCAACTTGAAAAAACTCTGCCAGGGGGCTGGGGATTTAGTTCAGCGGCACAGTGCCTGCTTGGCAAACAGAAGGTCCTGAGTTTGAGTCCCAATACCAAAAAAGAAAAAAGAAGAGAACTATGAGAACCATGATAGTTAAAGAAATCATTGTGAAATTTGCTAAGGTCCTGGAAAAAGTGAATTTATAAGTGTAATTTCTGCTCCTCAAAACAAATTATCTGGTTTTGCATTATTTCTTATGGGAAAAATGTGTTTAATTCTTGAGCTTTTTGGTGTCTTAACACATGTTTGGGACGAATTGAGTTCAACAGCTGAGGTATCACATACTTAAACTGCAAGTTACTTTATTTTATTTTAGTTAGTTAGTTAGTTGTGTGTTTTTGTTTTGTTTTTTTTCCCGGTACTGGGAATTGAACTCACGACTGTGAGTTCACGAACTCAGTGCTGCCTCTGGTTCAATTCTAGACACTCTCTCCTCCCTTCAGGGCTTCTTACTAGTCAGCTGCCCCTCCTCTCCCCATATTGCCCTCCCTCCCTGCTGCCTGAACGCCCTGCTCTAACTGCACACAAGCAGGCAAAGCCCAGGACTGTGCCGGGCAGTCATTACCTGAGGGATCATCAGCGGAGGAGCCCACGGTGATCTGGACGATTTCAAATGGGGATGCTGGGTCCTCTCCCAGGAGGCAGAGTGGGGGTGCTAAGGACTCTGTCTTCACATGCAGCACCTCCCCTGCTCCAGGGGCCTGGTGATGGCGTCCAGGGACACACAAAGAAGGAAAGAAAACAAGGGATATCTTGAGAGTTACAGCACAAACAAGAGCTTTATTTATTTTTTTTTTTTTGGTCTCTTTTTGAGACAGGGTCTCACTACGCAGTTCAGGCTGTCCTTGAGCTCACTTTGTAGCTCAGGCTTGTCTAGAACTCCCAACGATCCTCCTGCCTCAGCCTCGGGAGTGTTGGGACTACAGGCGTGCGCCACCACGCCCGGCTACAAACAAGAGCTTTAGAGCTTGCAAGCCATCAAGTATTTGACCCTATGGTCTCAGCCGTATGGAGCATCGCCCTGCGCTGTCTCTAGCCCTTTATTCTTTCTTTCTACTTTATACCTGCGAGAACGGATGAACTCCTATGATTTTTTTTACAGTGAACAACTTGAAGAACAGTAGCAGAATTCTCAGCAGCTAACAACCGTCTTCTCAGCGCCACCGCTGCTGCCACAGAGTTCTGTATATTAAAGACTCAGTGGACGTATGGGCAATGAGGCTAGTGAGGAAGTGGTCGGGGCAGAAGCGCCCCGCCATGACTCACAGCATACAAACAGTTCCCTCGGCACCTGTGGCGAAGGGAAGGGGAGCCCGCCACAGAGAACAGGAAGCAGGTGGTTCTCTGACCTGGCTGGAGGGCTCCGCGGAGAGATGTGACGATTCAGAGGCGAGAGAGGAAGAAGAGCAGGGGGAGGATGGCTCGGACTTCACCTGAAGATCTGGAGGAGAAGGGATTGGAAAACAGTGAGCGAGCAGAACCTGGGAACAGTCTAAGCGGGGTCGGAGGACCTGGGGCTGGGGACGTCCTCTCCAGGCGTGCAGGAGGTGTTAGGACACCGCGCTGCAGGGCCCGGGGAACAGGGAGCAGAGGAGGACGAGGAGTCAGAGAGGATATTCTACCTGGGAAGATAGGCAGAGAGTCCCAAGGAGGCTCCGGGGGGCTGGCGTCCATCGCCACGTCCATGGAGCTGCTGTCAAACTGAGGAGCGGAACACATGAGCGAGCAGGACCGGGAGAAGGCAGGGGCAACGCCAAGCGCGCTCCGGCCTGGTGATTCTCGGACCACGCCCTCCCACCCGCGACCCCACCCGCGATCCCACCCGCGATCCCACCCGCGATACCGGGACATCTTGTTCCAGGCAGCGGAAGAGCTGCGGCGGCTCGTCGGCCACTTCATCCAGGCCAGCGTACAAGGTGCTGTCTGCAAGCAGCGCGGCGTCGGCGAGCGCACCCGGCCCCCGCCCCAGCCCTCATTGGCTCCGCGCGGCCAGACCCACCGCCCGCCCCCTTCGACAGGGGAGCAGCCACAGAACGGCAGCCCCTCCTCCCCCGACCCCGGAACAGCTCGGGGTTCCCCCGGGGGCCAGGTCTTCCCGCTCCCAAATCCCCCGAAAGCACGTCGAGCCCTTCTCCGCCCTCCTTCGGCCAGCGGGTTCCATCTTCGCCCAGCCTTCCCCTTTGGGCTTCCGCTTCCTTCCCGCGTGCCTCAGGGACCCCGCCGGCCGCAGCCCTCTCCCCTCCCCGAGGCCTCACTCCGCACACCCCAGTCCTCCGGGCTCAGCAGGTTGTCGGTGAAGAAACGCGTCGGATCCGAGATCTCGCTGAGGAGCATCAGCTCCGCCATCTTTCCCCCCCACCCCCCGACCCTGAGAGGGTTCCCAAGGCCCGCCTCTCCTCAGCATCAACTAATCAATGGACGCTTTAGAGAGAGAGGGGCGTCCCGGAAGTCCTACGGACCAGTAAGAGACGTGGGTGCTGCGCACATGGCTCAAGAGAAATGACTGCGCAGGCGGGGCCAATGGGAGCACCGGGAGGGCGCGGCGGTTTCAGAATCTTCGGCAGTGAAGCTGGCGCATGCGCCAAGCTCGGGCTGTACATTGGCGCATGCGCCGAAGTAGCCCCAGCGACAAGGAGCCTGGGAAATGTAGTTCCGAGCATTTAAAGGTCCGGCACATCCCCCAGGCAGTCCTAAATTTATAAGTTTAGACAGCTGTTCACATCTTCGGAGATGAACAAGCTCCCCCCAGATAGGCGCATTGAGACCACTGCACTACTTACCCCAGGGAGGCAAAAGCAGGGAATAGGATATGGAGTGAAACCCTCCCTCTGAGCCCCTAAAAATCTCATACAGACCACAATTACAGGTTCCTGTCTCTTTGTTTTTTAAGGTTTAACTTTTAATCAGCCAAACATCTTGCGTAGGCCCTGAGCCAGCCCTGCATCCTGTCTCTTCCTCTCGATGACCACCTTTCCCAGCTCCTCCTGGGCTGCGCGGTTTTTGGGATCTACCGCCAGCACCTTCTTGAGATCAGCAGTTGCTTTTTCCAGGTTCCCAAGGGCAGCCTGGGCAACCCCTCTCCGGTATAAGGCCTTTAGGTGGCCAGGCTCCCGCTCCAGCACCCGGTCACAGTTTTGGGCTGCCAGCTGGGGCTGCCCTAGCAGCAACTGACAGGCCGCCAGGTTGGCGTGAAGGACAGTTCGTTCCGGAGGGCCAGGCGGGGGTAAAGTCAACAGCAGCCGAAGAGCCCGTCCATAGCACCGGGCAGCCCCTGCAGCGTTTCCAGCTCGAAAGAGTTCCGTGCCCCTTGCACGTTCTTCCCTGGCTAAGGCCTCCTTCTCACTGGTCTCCAGCTCCCAGGAGTCCCGGCCCTGAGTGAAGGAGTCCAGTGTGAGCCTGACGGGAGGTCCAGAGTGCCCAGGGAGCTGAAGCTCTGCCTCCTCACCCTGACACATGGACTCCAGGCATTTCTCTACAAGCTCCCCCCAGCTTTCATCCCTCCACGGCCCTATTCCCACAGTTAGCTCTGTCCAGCCCTCCGGCAGCTCTGACCCAAAAGGACATCCAAAGGCCAGAACCCGGCATCGAGAACCTAGCTTGGGTTTGTCCGAGCCGTGGCCACGGATTATGATCTTCTTGACAAAGCTCCCATCGGGACAGTACCAGACATCGGAAGCTTGACGGGACCCTGGAATCTCACGAGCCGATTCGTGGGATCTATCAGAGTCCCCTTCAAGTCCAGCGACCAGGTTTTCAGTGTTGTGAGGGGTCTCTGCATTTCCACTGGCTGGGTCTGGGCTCAGTCCTTGCTCCGAGGCTGCCGCAGGAGGGTCTCCGGGCTGCTGCCTAAACTGAGTAGTTGAATCAAGGTTCTCCTGGGAATTCCTTTCCCATTGTCGCTGCGGGTGAGAGATGTCCTTCTCTCCCAGGGGACTGACTGGTGGCGTCTCCATTTGGCTACCTAGTCTCTTTCACCGGGGGCGGGGGGGTGGGGGGGATCAGAAGAGGTTTTGGTCAGAAAAGGATGGGTCAGGTGTTCAGGTCAGCACCTGAAAAGAAAACCAAAAACAATGCTAGTTAATATTCTTAGCTTCCTGGGCCCGGGATATAGCTCAGCAGCACAAGCTCCTGCCTGGCAAGCGCAAGGTCCTGAGTTCGATTCCCAGTACTAAAGAAAGAAAAAAAAAGAAAGAAAGAAAAAAAAAGAAAAAACCCTAAAAAATATTCTTAGCTTCTGCTGAGCATGGTGGCGCATGCCTGTAATCCCAGCACTCGGGAAGCTGAGGCAGGAGGATCGTTGAGAGTTTGAGACCAGCCTGGGCTACAAAGTGAGCTCAAGGCCAGCGTGAACTGCATAGTGAGACCCTGTCTAAAAAAAAAAAAAAAAAAAAAAAAAAAAATTCTTAGCTTCCTTTCACTCTTTCTCATCAACCTCTAGTCCTGAAGGTGCATATCCCAGCCCCCGCACACCCCTGCCTCCAAAAATCTGTCTTTTCAAGCCCGGGTTCCACCCGGACCTAATTTAGAACTATAAATTCCACAGTTCCCTACAGTTTAGGTGGGAGCCCCAACTACGGACACCCGATCGGGTCAAAAACTACCTGAGCGGCCAGAGAGCCTAGCATGGTGACAAGAGCCGGATTATTCGAATCACCTTTGCTTCCGAAGCTACGTGATTACTGAATATTGTCTTCTTCGGAGTCTTGTCACAGATGCGGAAGACTGCTTACAGATAGGAGCAGCTGGGGGAGAAATACTGACAGCTAACCCTGGAGCGCGCGAGACTGCGAATCTAGTCAAATTCTTGACGGCCAATCAGAAAGAGGAAAGACTCGTTTGGCCCGCCTGCTAGGCGTGACATCATTTCCTCCGCAACAGCCAAGCTCCAGGCCTTAGCAACCGAGCTAAGCCTTAGCATCCGAACTAGGCCAATCGAACTGGTCCAGCTGGCCGGCTCCCTCAGAGTTGAAGTCCTGGAGAGGGAAACGGGGTCGAATGAGGAAAGAATGGAGAAGGGCTGGGGCGGCGCCAGCGTTCTTTTTATCAGCCGACCTCAGGCCCTTCTGTGCTATTATCCCTAGTTTTGAGATCCCAGCACAGGCCAACCCCTTCGGCCATTCAGTCCAGGTGGCGCCAAGATAAACTCTCAGGCTTTTCACTCCTACCGGCCCTGTTCTGTTGGGCGACCTCCTGAGGCTTCCCTTTACCTGTCTCCTCACACCCATCACCGGCTTTCAAGTCCCCCGCTTCTCGGTCTCAGTGCTTTTGCAACTCAAATGAGCATAGAGCACCTGAGGACGCTGTCAAGCTGCAGATTCGGATTTAGGAAGCTCGAGATGGAGCCTGCAGCCCGGCGTTTCAAAAAGGTCCTACGTGGTGCTGGTGCTGCTGGGCATGACCCAGAATCACCTCACTCCACTCCTCCCCTTTCCCTGTCTGTGACTTCAGTTTGACCTACATTTCACGTTCCCACTGGTATAACCTGCTCCACTGACTGTCGAAGTGGGAAAGGGGAGGAGTGTTCCTCCTCACAGGAGGCATAGTTTCTCACTGTGATTCAGCCTTGCCTGGCCAGCTACCTGCATAGGCTGGGCCACCACAGCCCTTCAGGGAAAAAGAATCCCTCTCTCACTATGGCTTCCCTTCAGTTTGCTTTCTAACTCTACCACTGTGCCTCAGATTGCAAGAACCACAACGCCAGGACAGCCAGGGGTGAGGGCAGTTTCTTTGTTTTGTTTTGTTGTTTGCCTTTTTTGAGACAGGGTCTCGCTGTGCAGTTCAGGCTGGCCTTGAGCTCACTTTGTAGCCCAGGCTGGTCTTGAACTCTCAACGATTCTCCTACCTCAGCCTCCCAAGTGCTAGGATTACAGGCATGCGCCACCACGCCCGGCTGAGGGAAGTCTCATCATTAAACACAGACCTGGGTCAAAACCATCTTCTATAGGTGTGTGGTGGCACACACCTATAATCCCAGCACTTGGGAGGCTGAGGCAGGAGAATCATTGTTCAAGACCAGCCTGGGCTATACAATGAATTCAAGACCAGCCTAAACTACAGAGCAGTAGTGAAGCCAACACAGAAAAAAACAAACAAAAAAAAACCCTTCAGAGCAAGACCCTGAATCAAAGACAACAACAACAACAAAAACCGTCTGTCTGTATTGTGTTAAGCTGCAGTCACTAACCCAGACTTTTTTTTTTTTTTTAGTTTCATTTCTGGGATCTGAGCCAGAATAACCTTATTCCACTGTCTCACTCTGACCCAACAGCTAGCTACTCGATTCTTAGAATCTCTGTGTTGTAGTTTGTGGTTTTGCAAGGGGAACAATAAAATACAGGGCACATATTTTATAAGTTGATTTATAATAGTCACCCAAAGAAACATACACAAGAGAGTGCAAGAAATCTGCCCACATACTAAAGACCGAAGTACCCAGCTGAGGGCCTGGATCCCATGATAATGTCCTGCATGCGTCCAGCTGAAGACCTAGAACCCATGACAAACGTCCCCTGTGACTCCAGCTAGAGGCCTAGAGCCTATGCCAATGTCTCACGCAGGCCTGTTTCACTGATCTGCACTGGGAAGGCCCAAAGGTCAGTGGTGGAAGCTAGAAAGTCTGTGCCAGTGGGATGAAGGATCTGTGCTAGTAGGCTGAGGGATCTGCACTGGAGCTGGGAAGTGATGCTTAAAATAAGAACCAGAGCTCCCCCGAAAAAATACCACAACCATCCTCAGAAACAGTGAGGTCCCGAGCTCCTCCGATGATCAGGACAGCCAAGTTCCCATCACAAAAGCCAACGTGACAAGCTTCTCCAGGAGACTGAGCAGTGCACATCTTCCCCTCCGGAGTCAGGAAGCGATGCTCAGAGTGAGGACCAGAGCGCCCCCAAAATGAATCGAAGCCATTCTCAGTGACAACAAGGTCCAAAGCTCCTTGGAGGATGAAAACAGCCGAGTTCATCAGGAAAGCCAGCATGACGAGCTCCTCCAATCAACGGCCTCTCTCAACTCCCACCAGCCTACTTCTCCAGTTCTGCCTCTTATGCTGGCAACAGTCCTCAGGTGGGCCTCCCACATGCAGCACCACGCTCACTCAGTTCAGCTGGGTATTACAAGTTGACCAACAGTTATCAATCCACCACACCCTGGGATCCTATTGAATCCATCTCTCTCTCCCGCACATTTCCCTTTTCCGCTTCAAGAATCTCAGGGAAAGGTAGTCTAGAATGAATCACAACAGGCTCGGTCACACCCTAATACCTGGACAAAGACTGCTAATTGTAGCCTGTGTCTTAACACTGAAGAGAGTCAGTCCATGACTCTTCATAGGGAAAAGTTCGTAGTTACAGTGGGATGAACAGAAGCATGAAATGCTATGAGAATCAGTGATTGCACTCAAGAGGCAGAGGCAGGAGGACCGTTGTGAATTAGAGACCAGCCTGGGCTATAAAGTGAGCTCAAGGCCAGCCTGAAATGCATAGTGAGACCCTGTCTCAAAAAGACAAAAAAAGAAAAAAGAAAAAAGGGCCGGGGATATAGATCAGTGGCACAAGCACTTGCCTGGCAAGTGCAAGGTCCTGAGTTCAATTCCTGGCACAAAAAAAAAAAAAAAGAATTGTGCCTGAGCCTTTTCTCACCTAATTATTTTGGTTTTCTTCTCTGCAGAAAAAGAACAGGTGACAAGTTAGTTTTGAGAGTAAGGAAGGGCATCAATAAACTAGACCCTTGAGAGGGTTGAAGTAGCTGCCTGGGTTCAAACGTGCTAGAACTAACTGGAGCCACAGC